AAATTTTTTCGGGCCTCCTCTGCGTGTGCGCGAGTCCTTCCTTTCGTTCCAGGAATATTCTTCTGTGTTTTTTCTCTTGATTTAACCCACTGATTTCACTGCTCAGGGCCGCGGCAAAAACAGTCCGCACCGTGAATTCGCCGTGAGGGAAAAAAAAAACAAAAAAGAAATAGAAAGCAAAAGGAAAGGCAAAAGAAATACATCTATACATGTATGCATGCTGTACACATACTTTATATATATATATATAAAGAGAGAGAGGGAGGGAGAGAGTCAAATTAAATACATACGGGGGAATTAACGCCATGACCGTACACATGGCACCAAATTAAATGACATGGGAAGGGGTTGCCGTACCTCAGTGCCCTCTCTTCGGGTAGTCGTGATGTTCAAGGCGCAAGCAGTAAAAAAAAAAAATATATATATATATATGTAAACATCACCACGTCTTTTCATAAGTTTTTGTTTGTTTTTTTTTTTTTTTTTCTTTTTTTTTTCTTTTAAACGACACGCATTACAGGAAACAACGGCAGTGGTATTCCTTCCGTAAAGAGGCACATAGATATACCGCAGCCGACTCCAAGGGTCCGTCCACTTCACCCCACTTCTCACGTTTTTTTTTTACTTTTTTTCCCGCTCTCCTTTTTGTTTTTTTTTTTTTTTTTTCTTTTGTTTTCTTCTCTTTTCTTCCTTTTTTGTGTTGGGAATGGAAGGAATTTTATTTTGCCCTCATGTCGCATCTCCACAGCTGCCGCTGAAAGCTGAAATGGAAAATAAAATAAAAAATGCGCCCACACACACGCACACACTCATAAATAAAAACAGGACAAACTTAAATCCAGTGTAATCATCAAATGCAGCAGAAAATCCGTCACAAAAAAAAAAAAAAAAAAAAAAAAAAAAGAAACCAGCAGCGATCACACCGTCCCTTCAATGCATCTTGCATGCATATAAACCCTCTTTTTATATAAAAAATATATATTTATTTATATTTATTTATATTTATGTACATATAAGCGTTGAGAAGTTAAAACAGGCATACATCTTATCATTTATCATTTATCATTACTGTTATTATTGACATTATCGTTATATTATCGTGCTGGTTACCACATCTCTTCAGAGACGCGTTTATTTTTCAGTATTTAACTTCTGTTGTTTTAAAATAAGTATGGAGAAATATATATATTTATTTATATATATTTTACCTTCTCAGGTGATAACCTCCGTCTCTGTAGAAGGTGTCAACGACGATGAAAGTTCCGCACACTCCGCTGCCATCCTCCACAGATCCACTACGCAGCCAAGTTCATCCTCGGCAGACTGATAGGAATCTACTAAAATGTGTGAGGCCCGAAAAGTGTCATTCCTCTCCTCCTGCATTCCCGCTGTAGAGAAGTGTACATCTGTGTTGCTGCTAATCTCCCCATATTCATCCTCTCCCGCATGCCGTCTCAGAGATCGGTCCGCCAGCGCCACAACCCGGCCTATAACTGACCTGCTCAGTTCATTGTTATCTTGAAAATTGGGCAAAAGCACATCATCACTGCCGTCACTCTCACAGTCATCCCGCAAAACTTCGAGAATGTCTGTCACCCCAAAAAAATGGCACTCCAGCAGGACATCGTTCAAAGGCAGAGAACGCTTGTCTATCCTCCCGCCCTTCCGCCAGGGCCACACCCTCCCGCGATCCCCCAAGATCGGATCGCCACGACCGCAGAGTCCCCGGCTCAACAGATCGTCCTCCTCGGGTATGTCATCGGTGTGACTGACGGATGCAACCTCCAGTGGCACTTGCCTTCCCTCCTGTGCAAACCCAGACAGCAACTTACCCAATTGAGGTGTATAATTCCTTTCTGTCGAGACCCTGGGGTTCAAGAGAAGCCCCAAATCTGTCGATGATGGATGGGATGCTAGGGCATGACGTTTATTCGTAGTCGTCATTCCCTGAGACGGAAGCTTGGGTAATGGAGCCAAAATTGCCACCGGCCTCGCATTTCTATCGTTCATTGAAGTGCCAGCAAGCGGAAAACCTGTCAGGACAGCAGAGAGCGGCGTGTGGAGCTCTCTTGTGGCGTACGCTTCCAGGCGCGGGTGACGTAAAAAAAGTTCCTCCTTTTCCTTTTCGCCCCATTCGCGCAGCATATCAATGGCAATCAAGGCCTCATCATCCATCCGCCCCGAACCTGCACAACGCGGCGTGTGGATAGGCCCAGGCGGAGTTAAAATGCGATCGTCCGTCCTTTTACCGCTGGATATTGTTGATTTCAACTCGTGATTGAACGGCGCCACGTCATTCCTCTCCAACAGCCACCGCCACGAAAACACCGCAGATGTCACTTCATGCCGCGAACCTAAATTTGACATGTCGCTGCCGCTTCCCACTCTCGAAAGAAGACGACCAAACACCTCACCATTTGGCATGGCACCGCTGCCTTCTCCCTGATGCGTTTGGTGATCACTTCCCTCCTCCTCCTGCTGCCGTTTCTCCAAATGAGGCGTTGGGTCTGACAGGATGTGCGTCCTCATTAACATTTCGCCACTATGCACGCAAACACGCAACCCGTTCGGCCGCACAAAGTCACTCCTTAAATGACTGATGCTCGCTAAAACATATGAGCCCGACGACTCCGTGGCAGGATTCAAAGTATTGGTGGTGTTGGATAGGGCCACAGCTGCGGATAACGTGCCAATCACCTCCATTTATCGTTTGCACCGGCAAAAACGAAAAAAAAAGTAATAATAAAAAATTAATATTAAAAAAAAAAAAAAACCACACAACAACAACAACAAAACCACCCCCGGGCAGTAAAGAGACAAGAAAAAAAAAAAAAAAAAAACAGAAAGTCCTCCCTCAGAAAAAAGAAAACGAAGCAAAAAAGAAAAGCAAAAGCAGAAGGAGTACAAAAGTCAACTGTACAAAAACAAATTTCTCCAGTAACCCTTGTGTGTGTGTGTGTGTGCACAAATTCCCCGCCCCTCAACCCAAAAAAAAAATTTTTTCCAAAAAAAATTTTCCACACAACAACAACAACAACAACAACACCGCCAGGCAGTAAAGAGACAATAACAAAAAAAAAAAAAAAAACGGAAAGTCCTCCCTCAGAAAAAAGAATACAAAACAAAAAAGAAAAGTAAAAGCAGAAGGAGTACAAAAGTCAACTGTACAAAAATAAATTTCTCCAGTAGGCCCTTATTTGTGCGTGTGTGTGTGTGTGTGTGTGTGTGTGTGTGTGTGTGTGTGTGTGCGTGCACAAATTCCCCGCCCCTCAAATCGTTTCACTCCGCCGCACCAAAAAAAAAAAAAAAATTTTATGGCTCTTTCCGAATTAATTGACGTTTTAACGGTGTCGCTTCTCCCACTCTATTTTCTCTCTTCTCCCGCCTTGCCGTTCCGTGCCGAGTGATGATATATACTTTTATACACGTGTATGCACTTAAGGATGGAAAGAGAGAAAAAGTGGGAGTGGCGGATTTTGCTGCTCTTTCTTTTTTCCTTTTTTTTTCTTTTCTTTTTTTTACGTTTTTGTTTTTCTTCGTCGGTGTTGGCGGCCGTGTCAATTAAAAATCACAAGGGAAACGCGGGACGCACAGAAGAGAAGAAAAAAAAAGACAAACAAAAAAAAAAAAACTGTGCTCTAAATATAAATATAAATAAAAACGAATTTCCCTCTTCAAAGGGGGAGAGGCGTGAGTGAACCAAAACGGCGGGCTCCCCTTCTTTTTTTCTTTTTTTTTCTTCTTCTTCGTTCGCCGCTTTAAGCACACAAGCCAGGGATTTCGTATGGTGCCAGACACGTAAACAGGCTCAGAAGACAAATAAGAAGAACCGCCGAAAAGAAAAACCCCCCACCCACAGGCGCACAGAAACAAACAGAAACAAACAGAAATAATAAATAAATAAATAAGTGTATTAACAAAATATTAATAATTAAAAAAACACAAGGAAAACGGTGAGAACAACAAAAACAACAGCAACAATTAAAAAAAAAAAACTATCGACCTTTTTTTTCTTTGTCTCTCTCTCTCTCTCTCTCTCTCTCTCTCTCTCTCTCTCTCTCTCTGTGTGTGTGTGTGTGTGTGTGTGCTTCCTTTCCTCTCTCCCCCTCTCCTTTTCCCTGCCACTGGGTTGTCGCACAATCACCACCCGCAGGGAAGACCGCGCCAAACAGCAACTTCAACGGAGCAAAAAAAAAAAAAAAAGAAAAAGAAACTCAAATTAAAGTGGACGCTGCCACGCCGGAAAGTTGCTGCTGTCAGCGCAATTCCCCCTCCTCCTCCCTCACGTATGACGGCGATTTAATGCTCCGAGCAGGCGGTGGAGTCAATGCCGTCGGCCTGTTTACAAGCGTCTGCAAGAATTCGGGGACGCGGTGTCAATACTGCCGCTGGCACCAGCACCCCTTTGCGTTGTGTCTGCACTTCACGGTTGCGCCCCTTTCAAAACCCAAAAACGAATTGAGCTCGAGAGTCTGCAGGAGTAAAAAAAAAAAAAAAAAACGCCTCCCTTCGCCTCCTCCCCCTTCCCTTCTTCCTTCAAAGCCCAACCGTCAAAACGGTGCGAATGTGGGAACCGACGCTATCACGTGACCATCAAAACAATAGAGAGAAAGAGAGAAAGGGAGAGAGAAGTGAGACAAAAAAGTTTGCGCCGCATTCCACGTAGGAGAAAAAAATTAAAAATAAAATTTTGTTATTTTTGCTTTCGTCGTGTTTTTTTTGTGTGTGTGTTTGTGTGACAAAAAGACTGGCAAAGTCCAAGCAACAGTGGCAGAAGAAAAAAAAAAAAAGGAAGAAAAAAGAAATGTACAAAAATAAAATAAAAATAAATAAATAAATAATAAGACTGCGCATTAACCTCAACCGTAGCCGGTGGGTATTTCACCTTCCATCCCACAAATACAGCCACGCCATAGATCGTGTGTGAAGTACATAAACACGTATTTATACGTAGTAAAGGAAGAGGAAAAATAACAGGTGCTTACACACATCTGTGCATGTCGGCACAACCCGCTCAGACTGATTCCCCATCCACACGTTAATAATATACATCCTCGTAACCGTGGAAAGGGATCGGGCGGAGGCACACTGGTGGGTGACACACAGAGTCACAATAATAATAATAATAATAAAGAAGTAAAATGTGTTATTGCAGCACACAACAGGGAAACGGAACACAACAGAAAGTAAAGCGGGGTGGGTTTTACCGGAAGATGCAACCCAATTTGTCGATAATAAAATTAAAAGGGCACAAACCAAAAAGAAAAAAAAAAAACAATAAAAAAGGGGAGACCATCCTCTGTGGAAGCGACGCCCCCCCCCCCAAAAAAAAAAAAAATTGCACAGTGTTGTTTTCCCTTTTTCTCCTTCTCCCTCTCCCTGAGCCCGTCCCAGTTCGCACAGCCGTCACCTTTTTGTTCCCCGCAAGGCGCAGACTCCCTCAGTGCCTCTAAAAACATCTCACAAACAAACTCGACGGAAACCAAAACAAAACCAAATAAAAATAAAAAATAAAAATACACGTATTGCCCCTTTCGTCGTGGCGCAACAAACCCCCATGCACTCCAACCGTCCTTCCTCGTCATCCCACTTTGCCAACGCCAGCACAGTCATGGGTATCGACGCCCATCCTGTTGAAGTCGGCCTCCGTGTGGCCTTCGTTGTTCCATTCTGCATTTCCCTGCGTTGAAGCAAGAGGAGAGAAGAGATTTATATGATTTTTCGCCAAAAGGTGGGCCTTAAGTGTGTTTTGCATCAAATACGCAACCGTCAGTGGGCCAATGCCCCCTGGCACTGGTGTGACCGCAGCCGCCTTTTCACGCACGGATGCCAAGTCTACATCGCCACATACACGCCGAGAGCCAGATGTCATCTCTCCTCCAGATGCACAGTCCTCGTTGATAGCCACATCCAGCACAATTGCCCCGGGCTTTACAAAATCCGCCGTCACGACACGTGGTATGCCAAGGGCCGTCACAAGAACGTCCGCCTGTCGGCTTACCTCCTTCACCGCCTCGAGATCATTGGAACGGCTGCAAAGAGTCACCAGAAAATTATCCTCCTTCTGCAACAATGCAGCTGTCGGAACACCAACCACCATGCTCTTGTTGATAATCACAGCGTGTAGATTTTTAGGCTTCTTTGAGGGTGTCGGCACGACCGCCGTCCTATTTGCCAAATACGAAAAGAGCAACGCATGCACTGCCAGCGCCGTACATGGAACAAAATATCGTCCTTCATTCAGCAGACGTGAGGCCAGCGCTTCCTCCTTCTCTGCCGAAGAGCCCCTATGCACAGCCTCCTCGTAGATAGGGTTTCCATCCAAGAAAAGACTTCCTGCATTAATTGGGTGAAGCCCATCAACGTCCTTGCCAGGGTGAATACACAGGAGAGCGGGACGCACACGAAGATGCGATGGAATTGGCAGCTGCAGAAGAACCCCGTCAAACGCATTATCATCACTGATGCGGCGGAGCTCTTGATGTAGCCGCTCTTCTGAAACGGTTTCAGGGAGACTAAGAAGGTGGAAACGAATACCGCATGCCTCAGCTGTTCGTTGCTTCACTGAAACGTACCGGCGTGAGTCCTGGCGGTTGCCAACCATAACAACCGCGAGACTCGGTGAACAACTAAGACGTGCCACCTCATGTTGAATGCGCTCAATCAGTGTGCCACTAAGAGGACGGCCAAGGAGTATCTCGGCCTTCATAAATGTGTAATGGTTTGGTGTGTGTCGTGTTTATTTTACCCCTTCCTCTTCTTTGTTGTTGCTGTTGTTGTTCCTTCTTCGGTCTTCCCCCTTCTCTTCCCTGAGAGTCAGTACAAATGTCCACAGACACGCGTCTGTGTCTTTTTTTCCTGCGCTTTAATTTCCTCTTCTTTTTCTTCTTCCCTTTCCTCCTGCGGGTGTCCTCTTCACTCACACCTCCCCCATTGTGTCCATGTCGCAGAAGAAAAACATGTGGTTAAGAAAAACAAACAAACAAACAGTAAAACAAAATAAATAAATAAATAAATACGGCAGACGGGCAACATGTCGGTTTGTCGCAGACACACCCGTCCGTTATTCTTCGCACCAACGGGAAGGACACCACAAAAAGGGAAAAAAGTAAACTCAAAAAAGAGACAAACGAAAAGCAACAACGAGAAAATATAAACAATAATAAATAAATAAATAAATAAATAAAATGCATATCAACCTCCCGTCCCGGTGAATCAGGCAGAAAAGGGGATTAACAAGATGATGGCTTCCTCCACTTTGCTCAGGGGCGGTAAATGGGGGAAAACACTTGACGGATCCAAAAATGCTGTCGTGTATTCTGTAGAGGTGCCGTTATGAGTCGTGTTGCTGTTGTCATTAGTATTGCTCCCCGCGTTCACCGCCAGCTCTGCAACAAACTCTGTCAGAGTTTTTTTCAGCTCCTTCAAAAACATAGAGCCGTGTGGTAGTTGGCTCCACGCATGAAGGGCACGGTCAAGAGATGATGCGCTCTTCACCGTCGCACCATCCGTGTTGCCACTCCCCAGCAAATGTGATGATGATGATGATCCCTGAAACTCCTGCAGCACCTTCTTCCAGTGGCTCTTCTGACGGCGCAGCTCCAACACCTCCGCTTCCACCGCCCGCTGTTGTGTGGTGAGCGCCTTGTACTCCGACTGCAGTTCCAACCCTTCGGCCTTCGTGTGCGCCATACGGGCCACCACCGCCTCACGCACAGCAAGGCACTTCTCCAGCTCCATCTCGGCGGCTGCTTCCTTCTGTCGCAAGTCATCCAGAAGGCAACGCCGTTGCTCCGCCTCGCGCTGCATGTCAGCGATGACGGCAAGGAACTGCTGGGCATCTTTAACAAATGTGGTGTCGTCCTCCGCCAAGGGAGTGATGGCAAAAGCCTCCATGCAATGTCTCCGCCCGCCTATTTCTCCGACAAGTAAGAAGTGGGCAGGAAGTCATGCGTTTGTATGTGTGTGTAAGAAAAGCAAACACACACACACAAAAAAAAAAAAAAAGGGTAAAAATATGCGCTTGGATGAGGTATTATTCGCCCCACCCACAAAGTAAAGGCAACAACAAAGAGAAGATGACGGGTTTGGTTCACTGCACCCAACATCCCCTCAAAAGTCAGAGAAGACTCATCTCAGACTCTTACATCCGCAAAGAATTAGTACACAAAAGCGCTTCGTGATCGCCGGACTCGTTGTGAGGTCAAGAAATGGCAGTCTTTAAAAAGAGCCCCAAATCCCACCGGAATTCCCTCCACGCAAAAGGCGGCATTGGGTGGGTAGGTGGGCGTGATGACAACACAAAACAACAACGACAAAAGAAAACATAAGAAGAAACAACGAAGGCTCATTGCAAATAGAAAGCAGAAAGCAACAGGAGGACAGTCCATGGAAGAAAAAAAGAAACCGCCATATTTTACATTTGGGCATCGTGCAAAAAAAAAAAAAAAAAAACCAAAACGCAGCAGACCATAACGTCAGGGTGCAATTGAGTGAATCACCGTCTGCGGTTTGCCCTTCATGGTGAACTCATAGTGCGGGCTGCGGTACCCCTCACCACGGCAGTAGAAGGGGCAGTCCTCTACCGACACAAAAGGGCAAGGTCCCAGCACGCCCAAATTCTCAAACACAACAACAAAAGGACACAAGGCAGGAATATTCCACGCATCCCGAAGTTCAGCGCGTTCAATATACTTCCGAAGGCATTCCTCGGCATGCAGAAGTAATTTCATCTCCCTTTCAAACCGCATCTTGGCACCCGTCAGCCACTCCACTCGACGCTTGGCCTCCCGCAGACGCCACTCGTACGAAACAATGGATCGACGTGTTTCCCACTCCTCCCGAATAATCTGCTTGATCCCATCGGCAAAACATTCCCTAATCCAAAGCGTCAACCGATTATTTTCATTCTCATTGGATGCATTCATGTTGCGTCGAAACGCTACAAATGCATTTATACTCTCCACACTGAATTCCGCCTGGCGTTTCAAATTATTAAAGGCATCACCTTCTGCCTTGAGTAGTTCCTTATGTTTCTTTCGCTGAAGCACTAAAAGCCGACGCAGTTTATCCTTCACCAAAGCTACGGAATCCCCCTCCTCCACCAAAGACTCGTCACGTGCAATCGATTTGTGCGTATTGCCGCCGCCATTCCTTGCGGAAAATCGCACAGATAATACATTCGGCAGCGACCCACTCCCTTTTTCACCCCGCAATTTCTGCCCAGTAGTGGGCCACGGACCACTCACGGCGTCATCCGTGACGGAATGTGTTGGTGGCGGTGGCGGCAGGACACTCGTTTCAGACACTCGACCACTGGCTCTTTTTCGGACGTGGGCTGTTGTGGAGCCATTGTCGTCTGCATACATCGACGCTCTTCTCGCAGCCATTGGTGCGCAAAACTACAAAAAGGCACAAACCCTAAAAAAAAAAAAAACAAGGACAGTATGGAACCTCTTATTCTCAGAATGCATCGGGTGAAGGAAGATGGAGGCTAGGGGAGGCATTATTGCGGTGCAAACATTATTTACAGAATTCGTCAAAAATCAATATTGTGTACACAATTCCATAACTCTACCCATGCACAAGGCGTGGAAGAAGCAACCGGCAAAACCCCTCAAAGTTTATCGTATCGCTGAAAGGTGTTTCAGAAGCGGCGGTGAGAATCAACTGTACAACCCCTGCACTGACATCCGCACCCGCGACACTTTTCCCAAATTCTAATAGTGCCTCCCTTGAAATTACAAGCCGCGCATCGGAGACAACATTAAACACACTCCGAAGGCACGCCATAACCATCCGTGTTCGCCGTTCCTGCGATGACCACAAGGCATCCATGATGGCATAAACCTCGCCAAGCGTCACCAGATACTGTGGCGACCATGACTGCTTAACTGCCTCGGCAAACGCCTCTCGTATCTCATTCCGTCTAAGCACTTCCGTCTTTCCGTCGGAAGGAAAAAGTGCGTTGATAATAGGCCTAATCTGCCAAGATTCAATACGTCCAACATCATCTTTATCCCACGCAATAAAAAGAAGCGACAGCTGCTGTTTTTTATGTTCAATAAAAGACGAAAGCGGACGAGAAGACGATATAATCGACGGCGTCGTAGGTGCCTTCACCAAACTTTTTTTGACCCCAACTTTCCTCGTGATGTTCCCGCCACGCTGCGTCTTCTCACGCCCCACACTAGACCTCATCCGGGACGGGAATCCAAAGCGAAGTAACAGAGGCACAAGAAGCAAAGTAGCAGGCAGAAACAATCAGATGTCCGGACAACTCCGCTCAAGACGCATATAAACTTTGAAACAAAATAAGAAATAAGAATAAAAATAATAAATAAAAAAGAGGGATGGAAAGAGTTAAAAAATAAATTAAGAAAATAACGTCAGATGCCCAACCGTACAACAAGTACAAATGAGAAACGCCAGATGTATTTAACTTCTTGTTCTTTTTCCGTTGTATTTATTCTGCTTTGCGGGCGCATCTATTTGTAGCCTGCCCCATCATCATCATCATCATTGTTTTGTTTTGTTTGTTTTTATTTTCATCGGTTTCATTTCTCTCTCCTTCTTTCTTCCCGTCTGTTCATCGTGCGTCTTCTTTCCTCCTTTTTGCTGTGTTGGTTGTTGTTGGTTTTTAAATATAAAAACACACACAAAAAAAAAAAAAAGAAATATGTATTATATATATATATATAATCGTCCGTTCTAACATCATTCAGCCAACCGCCACAAACGCCACCTTTTTCCTCTTTTGTTTGTGTTTTCTTTTTTTCTTTCTCCTCTTCCTTCGTCTTAATTAAAAAGCCGCAAGTAGCGCTCCCCATAAGTTACAAAGGAAATCCGCTTGCCCTCAGGCACATGAAAATAGAGAATCGTATATTACCCATTTAACTTGTCTATTTCTTCCTTTTCGTAATTGTTGACTCACGACACCAGACCTGCTGCCCGCATTTGCATCCAAGAAAAGAGTAATCGCTGCTCCGCGTTGTCAAGCACATTCGCCCAGATGCGGGCCACAACGGAAGTACATTGTTCAGCTGCAGCGGTGATTAAAATGCGTCCAATGGAGGTTGCCTCTAATGCACGAGCCACATCGAGTTCGCTTGCACCGTCTTTGATGATGTGAATTAACGCATCACCATCCTGCAGCTTTGCTCGACGGAGAATCTGAGTCAAGATGTCCTCCCGCAGCTCGTCCTCGAGCAAACAGGCAACTTTTGTGGCATACACCCACGCATCCAGAGACGACTGCTTCAGTAGACGCTGAACGAGTTCCGCAGGGCCCAATTCCATGTTTTTGGTCTCCGGCAGCAAACACATCTTCTGCGCCGTCACCATCTCCTCATCAAGTCGCATTGCGTAATATGTGCTCGACGTCGGGGCGCCTGCAGCCACCCAAGCCAACTTTGCCATGGACAGTGAGCGCGAGCGGTGCGTGATGAGGTCATCGCCGTATGCAAGGTATGACGGTGACTGCACCCCCTCCGCTAGAAGCGCCTCAAATGCCGTTGGCTTCACCAGCCACGCCAATTGTGGCGCATCCCGCACAAGAAAAACGTCACGCGCCAGAGTTCCAGCTGCGTAGTCCGGCACAAGCTCTGGAAGTAGCTGCAACTCCCACTCTCGGCGTTGTGCTAGTAGTGTATGAAGAGCGATATCAAACATATGCACATTTCGCTGGCAGTAATCACCAAGTAGCTTATACGATTCGTGCTCTTGCTGAGGATCCTCAACAGGTTTGGCGAGGCAAATGGACACAAGGATCTCACCCACGGTAAATTCCAATGCAAGCTCCTCACAGAAACGCAGTACCGCTGCCCCAATCGTCGCATCTGCCGATGGACGTGGTGCACCAAATGGATATCCCAGTGGCTCACGCAAAAAGGGTTCGCGAAACAACGTCCGCCGTATCGCGTCTGCGTAAAATGAGGGGCCTCCCTGTGAATGGGTCTGAAAAGAAAAGTGAATGATTAGCACAATAAGATCCAGCAAACGTAGCTGGTCTGTTGCAGAGACCTTCCACAAGGATGGTAAAGTATTCTTAGTCGCATGATTCAGCGATGCCACCATGTTGTTGCTTGACGCAGTCACTTCTGCTAGGGTACTTGACAGAGTTATGCATGCACTTGCTATCTGAAGCTGAATGCCGTAGTCTTCCAACTCGGAGCTTGTCCATAGCATCATACAGACGTTTTGAGGCACCTTGTACAGTGGAGCCATATCCTCGCGAGACTCCCTAATGGCTCGTGTAACGAGCACAAAAATATTCGCCATCGCCATCGCGTCATCAAACTTTGTGCGCTGATCCACGAGTACACTGCGTTGTGTTTCTTGGAGGTGTTCCCCCAACGCCTGCAAAAGCGTACTGAGCCGGCTTGGCTCCCCAAAAACGATTTCCGCAGCCGTGGCCCGTGCATTCAAAGAGTGTTTTGAATCGTTCTCGTTGCGAATCGTATTCGCAACGCGAACAATCGCCTCGCGCAGCAATTGCTGACATCGTTCCTTTTCTGCGGTGCTGCGAGCCAGACGAAAGTACTCTTCCACAGAAGAGTCCGCGTCCGACTGCCACACTCCACTGATGGCGTGGAGATAAAGTGGCGTCACCAGATCAAACTCCACGTCACTGCTGCAGTTGGTGGCGGTGGTAACTGAAAGAGGGTAGGAACTGTCATTTTGTAAACGTCGAATCGCCACCATAGCGAGCAGCGCCTCCTGTGTAGACAGTATTCGTGCAATTGCCTGTGCCTGGAGACAGGGACCAATTTCATTGTTAAGGAGCACAGTCAGAAGGAAGCGACGGTGCTCTTGCTGGCGCCTGACAAGGTTGTTTGTCACATACATAACCATGTTATCATCCTCCACGTCAAGGTCCGCACGTGCCCAATTGCCCTCATGCAGTGCCTGATGCGAAGATATGCCTTCACTGGCCTCCAATACCGCTGAATCCAGTGACATCTTGGCGTCAATGCGCAGTGCGTGTAAGATTCCATCGACATGGCGCACCATATTAAACAGCCCTTCACGTTTTCCAGTAAAGTGCGACTTGCGCCATGCATCAGAATAATAATCTTCTTGATTATCCTGGACGGAAGCGGAAGCAGAAGCAGAAGCAGCAGCAGCTTCAATCATCGCTTCATCTGCATCCACGACAGACTCCAGAGGTCCATTGATGTCTAACGTCACAATCCGACCATCCGGCAATAATGAACTGCCAAGTGGCCGCTCCACACCCTGCAACACGTGCACATCCTCACTCGAACATGGATGGCGAACACCCACTCGGTTATTAAGACGAACGCAATAGTGACCTGAAAGCACTGTAACCATTTGTTCAGCTTCATCAAGATAAATGCGTGTGTGATGCGATGGAGATTCCGCCACACTTCGTACCAGTGATCCAATCGATTGCATACTCAGCGTTTGTCTCACTGCCCCACTAAAGACATCCATTGTGACAACTTCCAAATCAGGTCCATGTCCGTCGCTTGGCAACAAATACACCAAGCAACAAAGTGCTGATGCTGTTTCATCAAAGGCCACCACGCGCCCCTTACGCTGAAGTACTGTAGAGATGTTTGTGGCCCATTTCACACGAACATCAGCATTTTCCTTGTGCCATCGACAACGACTTGAACCAAAATCCAAAAGAAAAACTTCAGATGCTGCATTAATAGCCCATAACTCGGTTGCTTGCGTTAAATGAAAGCGCAGCAATGTGAACTCATGGCCAACTGCATCGACAACGCCATAACCATCACTGCCGCAGCTGCTGTTGGTTCTATTGCGACTGCTATCCTTCGATGACGACTTCCCTGAAAGCCAGGAGCGCCACCAACACCCAAAAGAAAAAGAAACTGGGGTGGTGCGCACCGCCACTGAACATTCAACGCGATCAAAGCCAACGACGATGCGTTCGCCCTCGGCCTTGATGGCAATAAGCACCAGGCCAGAGACAGTGCCCACGGCAGTCAGCATCGATTGGCCCTTCCGACAGCACGCAAAGGAAGAGACAGTAAGAGTGCCCTCATCGCTGTGAAACTGAAACTCGACGGAGTGATCAAGACTGGAGACCGCACCATAATCTGTGCAGAACGCCAGCGACTCCTCCTCAGGACCGATCTCAGAAACAAAAAGAGGTAGTCCCTCATCCTCTGTAAAAGTGGGAATCGGCGCCATGCGAGGAGCGCTTCGCAGCCAAAAGGGTTTGTTCATGTTCCACAGACGAAGAAGACGTGTATTCTCATCCATGATCCAACAACTATGAGTACCCATGCCTGAAAGAAAAACCGATGGACGGATCGTAAGATCACCAACAAGAATTTCCGCCTCGGCAACAGAATGTGGACGCACACGCCCAATTCCCATCGGCACAAAGGAGTTTGCTGCCGCCACTATAGGTGCTGCCAGCTGGGTTGAATTCCCTGGTGCCTCCATGCTGCTCAACGGCGAGCGCTGTGTCCGGGCGACTTTTGCGGGTGGAAGGAACGCAAACATCAAACCACCTCACCCTTCAGTGTATAAAACCCCCCACAACACACTGCTCTGATACTCCTTTACATTGATTTGTCAATATCATTTGTTGGTAAAAAAGAAAAAAAGAAAAAAAGAGAAAAAAAAAAGATGCAGAAGCATAACAAAAACCACACAAAAAAGATAATAACTTAAGTAATTGTCATCGTGTGTATTTACACAAGAGAGTACGTAGTGAGTCATGTTCCTTCTCCCTCACACCCCTCAACCCACCTCTCCACTTGTTCCTCTCTCCATATGTATATATGTAATATATAATACTTTAAAAAGTTAGCAAGTAGTGCAATCCACAATCCACAATTACCGACCGTGTGAGGAGCCTTTTTCTGTTGTATTTTTTGTTTCATTGTCTACTCTCCTGCACTTGTTTAAGCTCTATGGGAAACTTCTATAAACTTATCCATTGAAAGGTGGAAATGACGACAATGACGACGGTGGTGGCGATAGCAAAAAAGCGGTAAACTCCCCATCGACACACCACACCTAACGCTCCTCCATAACGTCTAGGCTCATCTCCTCTAACATTCTTTTTAATGGCTGCAGCCATTTTGAATCCATGTGACGGTTCAACAACATCTCCTGCAGCTTTGGGGCGTCTGTGAGTGGGTCGAAGGAGACAACGTCGTCCCACTCGAGTGGACAACAGAGAGATGCCGTGCCGGGATGCACACAAAATGGAAGCTTCAGGAGATGGTCTCGCCGTGTAGTGACATGCTCATCCAGTCTTGGGTACATGAGCAAAATCTGCGCCGCCGCCGTAACATTTTCCGCGGCATCGCCCAGAGCTCGTATCACGTAGGCCCAGTCAAGCACATTTCCCTCCTCAAATGGAACCTGCTGCGTAAACCGCTGCTCCACATCCCGGCGTGAGCCCATTTTAAGCGCTGCGACAATCGCCGAGTACACAACACCTGCACCTTTAGGGTGTAAGACGCTGTTCGGATTTGACTCTGAAGACTCCAAAAACAGCCGGGTGAAGGCCGGGTCAATGACGTCACGCTGCACACGGCGAATGGTGGGGTGGATGGGTTTGCCGTTTACAAAGTCCGCCACTACAATCTGGCGAGAAGCCTTCGGAACCACCACTGTTAAGTACCCCACAAGCGCAGACCGCTCATCATCGTGCAGCTTACAAGCTCGCCTGTCACACACCCACAAATGAATGCCGCGTCGGCCGGAGAAGACGGGCAAAATGTAACGAAAACCAAAGTCCTCTTCAAGGATTCTTCGCAGCACGTGGGCTGCACAGGCCATCCACGTCCAACAGTAGCTGCAAATAGATTTCCCACTGCAACAGGACCGCACGCTATCGTAGTCACTCATATCAATATCAAACACCAGCTCACGTTCCAGAGGCAGGATGCTTGATGCACTCTGTTTTTGATTGGGACGAATCGTATACACCGCGCCAACATCAATTTTCTCTGGAAAATAACGAATAAGATCGCGACGAAGCTCTGCAGAGGTGCTATAGCTTCGGAAGCGTGAAAAGATATCCCCGAGAAGCGTAAAACAAAACTCCCGCCGTGCAAGATAACCCTCCGCGACGATGTTTCTCTGCTCCTTCTTGACGACGTCATTCGACACGGGAGGGGAGGGGGCGGCGCCGGTTATATCCGTCGTTTTCTCTGCTGCGGAGAAGTCGTACGACAGCCACTGAGTCACGAGTTCGACGGGGTACACAAACTCATAGAACTCCCGCAGTTGGACCTCATCCAGCATTCCTCTTGCCGCGACTAACACAAAAAGCAACAGGGAGATACACACATACACACTCCCAAGAAGAAAAAAAAAAAAAGTAAAAGCAAAAAAAAAAAAAAAAAAGAAGGACGGCATCAAAAAATCCAAAGAAAATCTTTTTTTTTTTTTTTTTTTGCCCCATTAAGCCAATAAGAGAATCATTTAGAATGGACACAACACACACACACACACAAATACAGAAGACGTCAAGAAACGTTTCAGTGAAAACGGAGAGGTGGTAACTTTGTTTGTTGTCGTGCAAAACTAGTCGACTCCAACAAAACGTCGTTCACTAACGCTTTGCGGTAATGCGCCCACTTTCGGTGCCTATTGTATTGCCTTTCAATGTCCTCGCATGAGGGGTATCCTTTAGCAAACTCCTTCAGCTGTGCGTACTCCCGCTCATCAAATATATTTCGGCAGTGGTCATGTGTTAACATGTAGAGAACACAAGTAGACTTCGTGTACACCGTGGCTTGCCGCTGTCGCGATGCTGGAGGAAATGCGGTGTCAGCCTGCTTTGGCGTGGAGATGCCGGTCCGCATACTGTGGTCATCCGCAAGAACTCGACGCGAAGAACACCAAGACGCGGTGTCTTCTAGAGCATCGTAGTTAACTGGTGCCTGTAGGGCGCCAAGAAGTACATCATGCCAATTTTTCTTAGACCAGATTCTCTCAACGTCGGGCTTCCAGTCCACATTATGATTGAGCAAGCCAAGCTCACCAAAGAACTCTCCCTCACGCAGTGTGACAATTTCCACCAGCTTCGTGTGTAATGACTGAAGTCGCACCGACGACAGTGTTGGATCTACAGGAACAGACGGCATGGCCGTGTTTCTCCCAGAATGCAAATCTCGAATTCGCTGCCACTGCGGGGAAGTGTGAGGTTGATTAAAGGCCGAAACACTCCTTGGCTCTCGCCCTCGTTCCTGCTGTTGTTGATGGAGTAGCGGTATGTTGCGTGCAACAACACATTGGCCCTCTTTGATAAAGTACATCGCGTCCGACTCCATCCCTTGAGTGACCACCACCTGTCGCCAAGAGGCGCGTAGTGGAACAAGCAATCGTGCAGCCTCCTCGTAATCCTCCGCCGTCCAGTGAGTGAAGACCTTCACGCGGAGTTGACGCCGCAGAAACAACACTCGTTCTTGAATAACCCGTTTTTCAAGGTCGCCAATGAGTCGATCCAGAGCGAGGTCCGTGCCACGCGTCAGACGCAGCAACATGCACTCACCGTCTGTTTCGTACCAAGACCCCTCCGGCAGCGCATTCACAGTCACGGGCAGGGCAAACACCTCGTATGGCTCAACAAAGGACTCCACGGAAGTTTTTAACATGGGCATACGCAAGACAACCCTCCCGCAAAGAAGCACATATACATGGTTGTTTACATGAGTCTCGCCAATCGCGTGTTCGCAGGTTCGTTTCCTTTCCGCATCGCCAGTGGGCAATTCAATTATGGAAAGAAGGTCATCCACCTCATTTGGTGGTGTAGGGACGGCAGGCGCCGTTGACATACTGGGGAGAAATGCGGGACAAAGATGAATGGGAAGACTTCCAGCAAGCAACATTTTCCCGCGCACCCGCAAAATTTCCATGTGCGCGGCAATCACCACCAAATCACTCTCAACAAGGGACTCAAACCGTGTAATACGCCGCAGCATTTTGAGGCAAAGGTCCTTGTTTTTATCCGAGCGGTACACAAACGGGTATTCGAGAGAAATTTTCACCTCTTCCCACGATGCAATTTCCTGCTGCAATTGCTGTGAAAACCGATCTACCGCATCGCGGGGCCCAAGCCTCGTGCTCTTCTTATTATTATGATTCTTCTCGAGCGGTAATATCGACTGCTGCGGAGCCTCCTCCTCTTGCTCCTCCTCCTCCTCGTCCGCATGTTGTTTAATTTCCTTCCTATGCCTTCGCACCTCTTCGGCATCCTCAAGGGCCAGCTTGGCTTCCGCCAGCCCTAATGCCTCATCCAAGAAGCGCTTTTCCACTGGTGTGAGCGCATTCAAAATGCTCATGATGCGTACACGCCAACTGGCAGACTTCCCGGGAATTAAAGTACGCTTGCATGCATTTTGTGTGTACGTGCGTCGTAAATTAAACAATTAATAAAATAAAAAAAAAATTTTAAAGAAGTCAAAAAATTAACAGCAGCCCGTAGAAATAAACAACTGACAAAAACACAAAGAAGTAAACTACGCCAAGGATAAAATGACAGACAAGCGATTTCAAAATAAAACACATGTAGGAAAAAAAATAAAACGATAGTTTCGGGAAAAAAAGAGAAAAAAATTATTTCGTTCATGCAGGCTGCTCCAAATGTTCAAAGGCGCAGTCCTCACACGCACCCATCCAAAAACATAAAGCCGCCATGAAGAAGAACCGCGATCTCCACCCAAGGCGTCCTCCTTCCAACCCTCACGCACTGCATCTCTGGCAACCTAACAACGCAAAACGATGGAACGTCCGTTGCCACACACGTCTCATTTCATATTTCTCCCGTGTGTGGAAAAAAAAAACGGAAAAGAAGAGTCCATTCTGCCTGTTTATTTGTGTTTATACATGCACTCCCCGCCAGTGATTGTCACACAAAAAACAAAGAGTTCTCCAGCCAAAATTCCCTCCATTGTGTCACGCAAACAAAAACAAAGCGTGGCGGAAAGAACAAAAGAAAAAAAAAAAACATATGGCGGTGCAAGGATATTTCAGTGTGAAGAGCACACAAAAACGCACAGAAAAGAAAAAAAAAGAGGGGGAGAAAGACGGGGTGGTGTTGGCGTTTCGTGTTGCCACCGTCACTCCCCACCCACGCGTACTGACGCACCGCACCACTCCACCTCGGGCAACAACTTCACTTCCTCCGCCCAACCGACTCACCAGAGTGTGGCACGGCCGAGCCAATGACCGCAGAGTTAAAAGCAGACGGCACAGTCAAACTTCACTCCGGCATGTGCGTCCAAACAAAAACACCTCGGCGACTGCTCCAGAGCCGAAAAAAAAAAAAGAAAAACATTTGAAATGGCCATCTCACCCTCTTCCCCCTCCATAAAAAAAAAAAATTAATAATAATAAAAGCCTGCATCTCATTGTTGACCGTCATCAACACGATCGGGCCCTACTGAATGACTCAAGCAACCCTCGTCGTCGGCGACACGGAACAAACGGGGAGGAGTTGAGAGAATTCATCCCGCCTGTGACTCTCCCGACCGCGTCATGTCTCCATGAGACCAGAAAATCTCAATTCGCCTGCATCACCGCAATCGATCCCCACACACTCTCGTGACAAATCCCCCATACATCACACAGCAGCAACCGTTCGGACCTTCAAAGAACACCAAACAGTAAATTTAAAAAAAAAAAAAAAAAAAAGGTCTTGCAACACCATCCACCTCACCACGCGCCATGACAAAATCACACCAACACAACAATGCCAACACAGCACATGGGATACCAACAAATATGAAACGTTCCATCGGGTAGTACCGCCACAATCCACAACAAAGAAATTTCAAACCACAAAAAAATTAAATAAATAAATAAACACTTCAGACAAAAACACACATAAAAAAAAATTCATCCTCACCGATTCCTCACCACCCAACGCTCCAATACACCACCTCGGCAAAACATCAACCCCGAAGAATTTACACGACCACAAGCAGAAGGCAATGAAGGATTAACACCATCTTTAAAACGCAACCATAACTTCTGTAGCTTCCTCCATCCAACAGATTCATCTTCCAAAAGCAACAACCTCTCATCCTCTTCCGATTCCAAAACATTACACATCAACTTACAAAATACAACGTCACAAACATCCGAAACTCCAAACACCAACAGACACCTGTAAAATACCATCCACGACACCGAGCAATCGCTTTCCACCAACACGGTGCAATCCACACGCGCCCTCGCGCTCCTCGCCGACTAGCTGACCGCGAGCGGCGTCCTCCTCCGCGGCTAGCGCCTCCACTGCTCGCTCATGCGTCGCGCTCCCGTACTCCTCTCCGAGCTCGTCCACAGCTGCAGCCTCGCCGCGCTCCAGGCAGCGGCGCACCGCTCTCTCCTCGGAATCCACGGCATCGCGGTGTAATCCACACGTGTCCTCGCGCTCCTCGCCGACTAGCTGACCGCGAGCGGCGTCCTCCTCCGCGGCTAGCGCCTCCACTACTCGCTCGTGCGTCGCGCTCCCGTACTCCTCTCCGAGCTCGTCCACAGCTGCAGCCTCGCCGCGCTCCAGGCGGCGCCGCACCGCTCTCTCCTCGGAATCCACGGCATCGCGGTGCAATCCATAATTGCCCTCGCGCTCCTCGCCGACTAGCTGACCGCGAGCGGCGTCCTCCTCCGCGGCTAGCGCCTCCACTACTCGCTCGTGCGTCGCGCTCCCGTACTCCTCTCCGAGCTCGTCCACAGCTGCAGCCTCGCCGCGCTCCAGGCGGCGCCGCACCGCTCTCTCCTCGGAATCCACGGCATCGCGGTGTAATCCACACGTGTCCTCGCGCTCCTCGCCGACTAGCTGACCCCGAGCGGCGTCCTCCTCCGCGGCTAGCGCCTCCACTACTCGCTCGTGCGTCGCGCTCCCGTACTCCTCTCCGAGCTCGTCCACGGCTGCAGCCTCGCCGCGCTCCAGGCGGCGCCGCACCGCTCTCTCCTCGGAATCCACGGCATCGCGGTGCAATCCATAATTGCCCTCGCGCTCCTCGCCGACTAGCTGACCGCGAGCGGCGTCCTCCTCCGCGGCTAGCGCCTCCACTACTCGCTCGTGCGTCGCGCTCCCGTACTCCTCTCCGAGCTCGTCCACAGCTGCAGCCTCGCCGTGCTCCAGGCAGCGGCGCACCGCTCTCTCCTCGGAATCCACGGCATCGCGGTGCAATCCATAATTGCCCTCGCGCTCCTCGCCGACTAGCTGACCGCGAGCGGCGTCCTCCTCCGCGGCTAGCGCCTCCACTACTCGCTCGTGCGTCGCGCTCCCGTACTCCTCTCCGAGCTCGTCCACAGCCGCAGCCTCGCCGCGCTCCAGGCAGCGGCGCACCGCTCCCTCCTCGGAATCCACGGCATCGCGGTGCAATCCACACGTGCCCTCGCGCTCCTCGCCGACCAGCTCACCGCGAGCGGCGTCCTCCTCCGCGGCTAGCGCCTCCACTGCTCGCTCATGCGTCGCGCTCCTGTACTCCTCTCCAAGCTCGTCCACAGCCGCCGCCTCGCCGCGCTCCAGGCAGCGGCGCACCGCTCTCTCCTCGGAATCCACGGCATCGCGGTGCAATCCACACGTGCCCTCGCGCTCCTCGCCGACCAGCTCACCGCGAGCGGCGTCCTCCTCCGCGGCTAGCGCCTCCACTGCTCGCTCATGTGTCGCGCTCCTGTACTCCTCTCCAAGCTCGTCCACAGCCGCAGCCTCGCCGCGCTCCAGGCAGCGGCGCACCGCTCCCTCCTCGGAATCCACGGCATCGCGGTGCAATCCACACGTGCCCTCGCGCTCCTCGCCGACCAGCTGACCGCGAGCGGTGTTATTCTTTTGTACATGAGTCATATCGATGTTTTGCATGGAGCTATGTTGTTGGTCTCTTTTTAGGTTTTCGATGTATGTTGTTGTTCTTTCTTCTTTGGTTATTGGGCTTAATCCCATTATTGTGTTAAATACTGTTCCCATTCCATTGGTGATATTTCTCGACATTTTTGTGGAAAGTGGGTTTTCTCCATTGTTTGTGTTCTTGTTTGTTTGTATCAGTCTTGTTTCTTCAATTATTTTTATTAATTGCAGGATTTCTTCATCAAGGACAATGTCTCTTGCCTCCTCTTCATCTGTTTCAATAATTGTTCTGGCTTCTATCAAAACGTTGTAATTGGTAGTTGTTAAGGGTGTCTGTGAGGACAACTTTTGCACTGACAATCTGGGGGGATGTGCTAGCTTGCGGACGGCGTGGTTGCCTGTAGTGGTCTCAGTTAAGAAATCATTCTTGTGAAGTTTCTCTTCCATGACAAATTCTTTGCTTGTCGCTGCCTTGTTACGGTGAATAATAATATCCATAAGAGAATAAATCTCTTCATCCATTATCCTGTCCACATTCTCCTCGTACTCATTGATGAGTTCTTGTTCGCTCTTCGAGAAATTGGCGGCCAACGTGCTTCCAGCGTACCCTTTTGGAGACTGGCCCTTTTTAAGAGTGTTCATTGTGTTTTGAAACTGCGAGTAAATTGAATTCCGCTGCTTGCTGTATTCCAAATAACTCTTTTGTCTTGCAGCGTTTTCGGTTAGTCCGGTCTGCTGGAGGGCAAGTTGAAATGCGGAAAAAAACCAATCCTTGGCATCTGCGGTTTCACGTCCTTCGCTCTCCTCGAAATCTTCTTTGCCGATGTAGCCAGCCTCTATTCTCCGGCGATCCAGATGCTCCTTACTAACAATCAAATTGCGGCGTTCCTCCTCCTTCATTATGCACATATGAGCATCCTGAAGAGCCTCCCACAACTGTTCCTCCTTTTGTTGACGTAAATAGCGTAGTTTTGCTTGAATTAATCGGTCTTGGAACATCATTTGTATAATGTTTGAAAACGACTCTGTCTCTTCCAAAGATAGAATTTTTCGTGATATTGTCTCTCGTCTTTCTTCCGCACGTAGCGGCTGTTCTGGAACCCAATGATGTCCTGCTGCTGTCCGCCTTCCTATTCTGTCGTGCACCACGTGAAATACTCTGCTAGACTCGGACCCCACTGAGGTTCCTCTACGTCTTGATTCTCTCGCAGGGGTGTTGGAGGCGCTGTCAAAAGAGATAGCCCAGGACGGCTCAAGTGAAAGCGGTCCCCCGTTTTTCTCATGCGCGGGGTTCAACGCAACGTCGGGCTGAGGTGAAAACCCTAAATTTACTGCGTAGCTGCTAATTGGTGACGTCAAAGAACTATCCTCGTCTTCGTACGCTGCTCTGGCGGCTTCAATAATCTCCCGTCCACTCCTAGCATCCCCTGCCTCCCGAAGCTGGAGCTTTCGCCGGGAGGAAACCCTTCGCTGAACGTTCACGCGCTCTTTCTTACTAACTGCATGGCGCTGAATCTCGATCGCAGGTATGTCCAGTCGCAGAAAACGTTGCCGTGGCATTCCGCAAGGCAATTTGCGCCCCTCAGCTCAAAATAAATAAATATATAAATATATATTTGGTATAGTTTGCAACAACAACAACAAAAAAAAAAAAACTCACTCACCCGCAAAGTGGAGACAATTCACTTCTACCCCCAGCTGCCTCTTCCTTCCTTCCTTCCTTCCTTTTTTTTTTTTTTTAATTATCTCCACCCCCTCCTCTCCCGTACTGTGCAACTACCCTCCTTTTTCTTTTTTTTCCTGTTTGTTTACTTTCCTTAGCCTGGCTGGACCCCAGGGACAGACGCACAACAACTGAAAACGTCTGCGTCGCAATCCGATATAAGTATATTATACAATGGAAGGAGGAATGATAAGGCCAAAAAGCGGAGGAAGCACAACGAACAACAAAAACTATAAATACAAAAAACCCGGAACAGTAAATAATATTACTTTGGATGAGTGATTCACCGTAAGTAGAAATATATATATATATTGTGTGTTCTATAGAATGTCTCTATCGCTATGGAGTCAACTCCAATTGCTCTTCGACTCACACACTTAAGCAACAACAACTAAAAAAAAAAAAAAAAAAACCTCCTCAAAATATACAAAAATTATCTCTCCTTCCGTCCTCCTTTATTTTTTGTTTGTTTTATTTTTCTTTTTTTTTTTAGATTTCTTTTCCTCCTTTTCCAAAAGCCTCCCTTCCGTTGCTTCCCTTTTTTTGTGTGTGCCTCTCGCTGCTGCCCTAGCTTTGTCTTATTTCTTGTTTGTTTGTTTGTTTCCGTACTTGCTTTGAAATTTGGTTTCCCCTGCCTTCCTTTGAAACGACAATGATGGGTGAGTTTCGGCTTCAATGCGCAGACACAAACAGAAACCCTGCAAGAGAGGCGACAAACAACAAAAGGAAAGAAAAAAAAAGGCGTGCGCAGCGGGTGGAGTCGCGAGAAAAACAACAGAAGAAATCAACCAGCGGTCACAAGAGACAGGCATGTGGAAAACACCGCCCAGACCCACAGAAAAAAGGCATTCTCACAGATGGAAAAGCACAAAAGTAGGAGAAACAAAAAGAAAAAAAGAAAACATCTCGACGAAGATGGAGATTCCTCAACCGCACACGTACGTGGAAACAGCATCCCAATCCCACTTTTCTCCACTCCACTCCTTTTCCCCTCTACTTGAGAGGAATAAAGCGAGAGGAGTGCGTTGCACCAACACCAGGACGGCCGTGGATAACGGGCTTGTACGTCATGGAGAACTCGCCAAGGTAGTGTCCAATCATCTCGCCCTTGATCTCCACCGCGTTGAACTGACGGCCGTTGTAGATGCCGACAACGGAACCCACCATTTCAGGTGTGATGACAACATCACGAAGGTGTGTCTTCACGGCTCTCGGCTTCTCACCTGCCTTCACGTCCTTCTTCGCCTCGCGCAGGCGCTTCAGGAGCACGGGAGCACGGCGGTTAGCGTGGCGGTTCATGTGGCGACGGGCGCGGGCGTGAACCAGGGTCTTGAACTCCTCCTCCGAGAGGGCCAGCAGCGGGTCAATCTCAAGCCCACGGTACGTGAACTTGTGGAACGTGCGCTCCTTCTTGAGCTGCTCGTAGCGCTCCTGCGTGATGTTGGAAGTCATACTGCTTCTCCGTCTTCACAAGTGTCCACACAGAGAGTAAAATAATAATAAAAAGAGTCATTCGTACAAGTAGAACAAAATCATGAATAAATAAACCCAGAAGAACGCAGGTAAAATAACAAATTAAAAAAAAAAATAATAAAAATAAAAATAAATGAAACATCGTTGTGTACGATAATAATAACACATACAAAAAAACAAAAGGGATGTAGTGTACATCTGTATCGGTGCATGACTGGTCCAGCAACCACAGCGAACTCACAACAGCGAAAAAGAAAAAAAAAAAGGCAACTCATGTGTGAAGTACCAAAAAAGAAAAAAAAAATCTTTTCATTTTTTTTTTACATAATTCCGCATTAAGATGACTTGTCGGCCGAGAGCTCCTCGTCAAAAGATCCAGAAACATCGGTGGATCTTCCTGAAAAATGGACACGCTCTCCCTGAAAGATTCCATCTGAAAAAATGGCTTCAGGAAACTTGAGAACTGATTGCCGAAGGGTGGCACAAAAACCATACCACTCTGCCATCTCCTTATCAGAACGCACTGTCATTTCAGACGGTATAATGTCTCGAACGGGTTCTTCCAAAACGGATTTTTCTTGAACGGGTTCCTTCTTTCCATACGGAGTTCCTACTTTTGCCTTTGACTTCGCATTGACTTTTGTTTTGCCCCGTTTTCTTTTCGGAGAGAATTCTTTCTTCAACCCCGCCGTATTCACCGGTGAATTTATTGGCTTCTCAAGAACAGGAACATCCGTGGATTTCTCCTCTGGTTCCGATCTCTCCTCTTCATGCGCTGGAAAATGCATTGAACGACTGAGAAGTGACACCGACCCCAACGTCGTATTTAAAACCTCCTCCAGTGAAATAATATATCGCAGTGTGGTTTTGTTTCTGGTTAAAAGTTTTTCATATTCGTCGGTACAACGTGAAACGTCTCCCTTTACCCCCGATGTAAGAACAGATTTCCCCCCCACTGAAATCGTCTTCTCTGAAAGTAGAGGGTACTTTAAGTTAAACTCTTCCTCCGTCATATTCCCACATTGCGTATCAAAATCCCTCACAGCCTGGAAGGCACTTGGAATGGGTAACAAAAACAGACCAATGACCACCTTACTTTCTAAAACAAGAGGCCCAAGAATCCTCTCCATGAGACTATACACCCGTTCATAGCGTTGAATGACCAACCTACGCCAAAAACGGGTAAACACAGAGGCACCTTGAGGTTCCCTATCTATATAACTCCGTGTAGAACGCGTACTCACAGCTGAACGATTGCTGGTATTTCGAGGAGCATCTTTTTTTTTCGGAGCGGATTCATCTGCAAAAATAGATGGAAGAAATATTCTTCCACCTACCAACGGCGTCTGATTTGCTTTGAATGTTTCCATTACAGCAAGAATTGCACAACGCCCAACTTGCACATCCATATCTGCCACAAGTTTAAGTACCGAGCTCACCAACTTATTATATGTGAAGGAACCGCTTCCGTCTGTGTCAAATTTACGAATACGAGCCTCCACAATACGCAAGACATGCTTCATAACATCAAAAATTTCTACTGGTAATCGTCCATCCACCACGTCCGCAAATAAACGACATAATGGCTGTTGTTCCTTGTATCGTTGAGCGGCATACCATATATTATAGGAGTATTTTGTTAATTCCATTTCAACAGAAGCATTTTTCCCATCAATTGAAAAGGATGGATTGAGAGTCCCAGGTTGAATTAATGAGGAATAAGGAGAATCTGCCACATTTACCAAAAGTACATTGGAAACAAAGTAAGATACTACATAGCCAAAAGGAACACTATTCTCATCCCTTTGTAGCTCATTTAAAGAAGCATCCAATCGCACCATTGGATTCTCACAACGTTCAAATAACTTATATTGACGAGGTGCAAGCATCTTCGAGTCACGGGTAGTACGACATGCCGCTTTCAATGAGGAATAATTAGAAAAAAGGCCAAATAACAAAAAGGCAATATCCGTTTCAGACCATCGAAGATTAGGAACATCAGGTTCAACATGCGTACGTAAAAAATGAGGAATATTTGCCCATGCGGAAGTTGGAAACGTTGGAAGAGCACCTCGAACGTTTGCTTCATCCGCAATTTTTAACATGGTTTCATCTTCCATCCAGTCCACTGCAGAAGATAACTGGCGAAGAGTCATCACAGCCGAATTTAATTGATGTTTAAGATTTGTTCCCAATGCTGCAAGTTCCACCACAATTCGTGCCGTACTGTTCCTCAAGTCAATTCCAAGATCGGTCTGAATGGTAAATGGTACATCCCGCGGCCTTGGAGTTAATGGTGCTTCATCACCATCTGTTGTTGAAAATAGAAAACGTTTCTCATGAATATATCGTTCAAGACCTATAATTTGATTTTGTAATGCATCAATTTGTGTTTGAAGATCAGAATTCTCATGACGCAAACCATTCACTTGAAGTCGATAAGCTGTTCTATCATCAAACGCGCTATTTAATAGTTCTCTTTGCAAAGAAAGACGGGCAAGATTCATCTCCTCTCTTGATGCATACATAAACTCTAAAGACACCTGATCTCCAATCTTCTTAACCCCATCCGAATCCCGCTTGGAAGATTTGGCCTCGCCTCTCGGTTTGTTGTATGCATATAAATCGTCGTTTACTCGTGGTATTTCAATACGGTGTTTTCGAAGAAGTGCCTCCAAGTCTTCCACGCGATTCACAAGACCCTCATTTGTTTTAAAAACGGATGATATAAGTTTTCGAAATGAACGAAATTCATCCTCCTTCCTTTCACAATCATTTAAACGAATCATAACATCTTCCTTTGCTTTCATTAAAGTGACATCTCGCTCTATTCTCAATTTCAGGACTTCATCACGTAAGGATTTTATAGTTGCCTCTGCTTTTCTTTTATCTTTTAAAAGTTGAAGAAATCGATTTTCAAAAATTTCCTCACATTTCTTAAAAGTACGTTCTTCTACATGACGTATTTCTGACCGCAGAGATTCTTGTGTAGACTCCGTTGTCGTCAACCATTCATTCAAATATCGCCTTACGGATAAAAGAATACCTGAAATTGAAGGCTCCAATCGACTCAAATCATCCAAGGCTTTTCTTATATTATTCCCCCGTTGTGGCTCGGCTACATGCCGTGCGCAATTTACCGAAAGAAATGATTCAATTTGTTGAATTTTCTCCTTATAAACAGCCGATTTGCCCTTAAACGCATCACCAACCGGTTTCTTATGATAAATGGAAGAAGTGATCGGAATTTCGCTACTCTCAATGGCTAAAGGGAGATGCGGGGCATCCATTTGGGTGTCTGTTTGTTGACGTAACGAAGCGGAAGAAAACACTGCGGTACAAACTTTCAAAGCGGTTGGTGGTGTTGCTTTATTTTTTCGAAATTCAGCGGCCAATTTGGAACCTGTGGGTATAAAAACCCTTCCTTGTCGATCATTCGAATGACCCACAAAAGGCAAATCTAAAAATTCCATTAATAATATGACTTTCAGAGAAGAGTCATGTATGGAAATAACAGAGAGAAAGAGAGAGAGAGAGGGAGAAAAAAAAATAAATAAATAAATAAAATTTTGGTTTCAATGCACATATCACATACACACAAATTATTTATAAATATAAAAATATAAAAATAAATATAAATAAACCCCGTTTGAAAAATAAAAATATAAAAATATAAAAATACACACACACACACACAAAAAAAAAAAAAAAAGGGAAATAAATAAATAAATGTTTTAATGATTTCTTCAAGCGTATTGAATGAAGGAAACAAATGAGAAATTCACTCATTTGCTTTATTTTTATATAAATTTATATATAAATCCTCCTTTTTTTTTTTTTTTTTTTTTCTTTTGCCTTCCCTCTTTATTATTAACTGGTTTAAACAAAAGCTATCCCTTTCCATTCAAATTTCTCCCATCGCGGCAAGCCACTCTTATTTCTTCCCCCCACACACCCACACACCCCACTACATGAAAGAAAGAAAAAAAATAAAAGAAGAAGAAGATCAAACAAACTCATATATATATATATATAAAGAGGCAATAAATAAATGGCAAATCACCTTCACCCAACCACCCCCACATCCAAAGAACACGTTTTTTGTTTTGTTTTGTTTTTTGTTTTTTTGTTTTTGTTTTTTTCTTCTCTCTCTGCCACTCTGCTAAAATACTCATAACACCGAGATCATCCACAATCAACCACTCAGAGAAAATAAAATATGATCGTTTAAGAAATTTCATGCACGTCCCCTGTCCCAATCGCTGCTTCTTCAGAAGAAGTTATGGCAACATTCAGCCAAAGTTTAAGACGAACAGCATCGGACTGATCAAGATAATACCTTGGTAAAAATTTGGTTTTTACAAAACCTAAACCCAGGTAAAGTGATAATGCACGTTCGTTCATTAAAGGAGTTTCCAAGTAAACCTCTTCACATCCTTTTTCTCTCATCAAATTAATGGTAAGAGCTACCAAACGGCCTCCCAACCGAAATCCACGAAATTCGGGTACAACGGCAAACATCGCCACATAACCTCTAAGAGGGCGACCAGGCCCTTTTCGAGTTACACGGGAAACAACAGCCCCCACGCGTTCTCCCTTAACAGACGAATCTGGAAACGTCTCACTTTCAATTCCATAAGCAATTACTGTGAGATCAGGCCATCCAAAGACAAAATATTCATATGTAAAACTGCTATAGGGCTCCGTAAGTTCCTTTGTAAAGAGGCCAACAACAAACTCCATTGCATTTTGACTCCCATCAAATTGTTCATAACGGATATATCTCTTTGGTGCCACTTCTTGCCATTTTATTTGATCTTCCTTCAAAGGCACAACAACATTAAGATATTGAGCATCCCGAATGGCCTTTTCCTGCATCATACGTTGAGCAAATAGTGCCATTCGTAGCTGTTCCTCATTAAACGTCATTCCATTTTTGGTGCCTTTTATCTTACAAATAACATCATCTACCTTCTTTTCACTAAGAGCCAAGGCTTGTTTTTTTGTCATTCCCTTTTTAGAACTTTTTTGTAAATTTAAATTCGAATCACCCTCAATTGCCTCAACCAAAGCGTCAAGCGTTTCGTCAGAGACATCGTAACCCCCTTTTTTTCCAGTCTTTTTGGGCATTCTTGTCAACGGAAACTATTTAACAAAATATCAGAGGATTTTTAATGTATCCAACCAAATAAAAAGAAAAATAAAAATATTTTCAGTACGGCTCAAAATAGTAACAAATAAATGAATACGGATAAGAATTTAAAAAAAAAAATGTTCGATATTAACACAAGAAAAAAAAAAATGCATCCCACTTTTCTCCACTCCACTCCTTTTCCCCTCTACTTGAGAGGAATAAAGCGGGAGGAGTGCGTTGCACCAACACCAGGACGGCCGTGGATAACGGGCTTGTACGTCATGGAGAACTCGCCAAGGTAGTGTCCAATCATCTCGCCCTTGATCTCCACCGCGTTGAACTGACGGCCGTTGTAGATGCCGACAACGGAACCCACCATTTCAGGTGTGATGACAACATCACGAAGGTGTGTCTTCACGGCTCTCGGCTTCTCGCCTGCCTTCACGTCCTTCTTCGCCTCGCGCAGGCGCTTCAGGAGCACGGGAGCACGGCGGTTAGCGTGGCGGTTCATGTGGCGACGGGCGCGGGCGTGAACCAGGGTCTTGAACTCCTCCTCCGAGAGGGCCAGCAGCGGGTCAATCTCAAGCCCACGGTACGTGAACTTGTGGAACGTGCGCTCCTTCTTGAGCTGCTCGTAGCGCTCCTGCGTGATGTTGGAAGTCATACTACACGTGTAGGAAGCTATTTAACGTTTTCGTATGTTGTGGTAAGTAAAAGAAAAATAAATAAATAAATAAATAATGATGGGAACAAAATAAACAAAAGAAGGTGATGTTCCCTATCCTTATTACAGCAAATATAGTATAAAATTTTTTCCAACTATATATATATATTTTTTTTTTCAATACTTTTCTTATATATAAATATATTCTGTTGACTACTCACGTGGTCTTTTGTACTCAGATCTGAAATATTATTACTTACGAAGTGGCAGACTTTGGGGTCCTCCAACTACAAGACCCCGCCGCGAGGTGGGAATCGAGGGGCTGGGTGGAATGGCAAAATGAAAATAAAAAAATATCTGGCCTCTATCGGTTCCCGCCCCTACAAAGTCTTTTCCTTCCCAAAAGATTCATACGGTAGAAAAGTACCATAAAGAAATTTACTCGATCTATCAGGATATACACATTAAGTTAGCCAGCTCTCCCGCGATCATTCTCTTCACAAGCCCCTACAACAGTTGGGAGAGAGGCAGTAGAAAACAAAAAAACAACAAACCAATCCTATTCTATAGGGCTACATGTGGGTCACCGTGGCTCAGCGACGACGGCCACCCAGGTGCATCTACCATGTTGCGCCCCGTCTCTACGCTCGGCCTGAAGGCCGCTCTAAGCGCTGGGCGTCGCCCTCGCCTTCTTGCTGCTCTTGTGCTTCTTCGCCAGCGCCTTGTTCAGGCTCGGCATCACACCACCACGCGACAGCGTCACATCCTTCAGGAGCATGCCGAGGTCGTCGTCGTGGCGCACGGCAAGCGTCACCGTGCGGGGTGTCAGGCGCTTCGGCTTCTTTGCCTGCTGGCTCGCCGCCTTCACGGACAGCTCCAGCAGCTCGGCTGTCAGGTACTCCAGCACCGCCGCCATGTACACAGCGCCCGACGCGCCGATGCGGCGGGCATACTGGCCGCGGCGCAGCAGCGAGCCCACACGGCCCACGGGGAAGATCAGACCGGCCTTCGCGGAGCGGCCGCCGCTGTGCTTCTTGGACGCCTTCTTCGCTGCCTGCTTCGGGGTTGCCATCCTTGTCTGCGAAAAACAAAAAACAAATAGTAATAAAGTGTGGTTGGGTTCCTTGGCTTGGCTTTGATCTTGGGAAACAAAGGGAGGAGAGAAGGGCGGGGGCAGGGGACCTGCGGCCAAAGCAGAGGAAAAAGCGCACGGCACGCCACAATGCGGCCAAGCGCCGAAGCCGAGGCGCCGCAGAGACCTACACAACAGCGGGAGGAGAGGCAGTAGAGAACAAAAAGAAAACAACAGCAAACCAATCCTATTCTATAGGGCTACGTGTGGGTCACCGTGGCTCAGCGACGACGGCCACCCAGGTGCATCTACCATGTTGCGCCCCGTCTCTACGCTCGGCCTGAAGGCCACTCTAAGCGCTGGGCGTCGCCCTCGCCTTCTTGCTGCTCTTGTGCTTCTTCGCCAGCGCCTTGTTCAGGCTCGGCATCACACCACCACGCGACAGCGTCACATCCTTCAGGAGCATGCCGAGGTCGTCGTCGTGGCGCACGGCAAGCGTCACCGTGCGGGGTGTCAGGCGCTTCGGCTTCTTTGCCTGCTGGCTCGCCGCCTTCACGGACAGCTCCAGCAGCTCGGCTGTCAGGTACTCCAGCACCGCCGCCATGTACACAGCGCCCGACGCGCCGATGCGGCGGGCATACTGGCCGCGGCGCAGCAGCGAGCCCACACGGCCCACGGGGAAGATCAGACCGGCCTTCGCGGAGCGGCCGCCGCTGTGCTTCTTGGACGCCTTCTTCGCTGCCTGCTTCGGGGTTGCCATCCTTGTCTGCGAAAAACAAAAAACAAAAAGTAATAAAGTGTGGTTGGGTTCCTTGGCTTGGCTTTGATCTTGGGAAACAAAGGGAGGAGAGAAGGGCGGGGGCAGGGGACCTGCGGCCAAAGCAGAGGAAAAAGCGCACGGCACGCCACAATGCGGCCAAGCGCCGAAGCCGAGGCGCCGCAGAGACCTACACAACAGCGGGAGGAGAGGCAGTAGAGAACAAAAAGAAAACAACAGCAAACCAATCCTATT